TTGGAAAATAGTTTTTCGGAGTTTTTCAAAATTCCGAAATGCAACTTCAAGTGAAATTTGAAAATTTGATGGACTAACACTGATTTCAGAAAAAGTGAAATTTTCTTATTGCCAAACGGCCCCTAAGAAATATTTATTAGAATGAGTTTTGGACTATTTTACCCTAGTTTATGTCTTAAGATATAACATCTCTTAATTGAACTTCTAAAATAACGTATAATTTTACATTTATTTTTAAATATCACGACTAGAACTTTGAGAGTGAAGGAGTACTAACATATATTTATAAATAAGGAGTTAAGTGTTCCGATAATAGTAGTGAAATTAATACTCTCGCTGCCCTATTTATGCAATAATTTTTTGTTAGCATAAAGTTTAAGAAAAAAGAACATTTGGAACGTAATGCTTGTGAATTATGACAAAACATAGACATTTGTAGGTTAAAAATTATTTCATTAAGGATAAAAATAAATAATTTAAAGTTATAATATTTCTATATATGAAATGCGGATCATTCTTTCGACGCAAACTAAAAAGAAAAGAATATCATAATAATTTATCTTTGTTAATATTCTGTTCCATTTGTATCACACTGTTTCATTACTAAATAATTTATCTTTGAAAAGAATTCAAGACCATTCAAACTTAAGAACTCTTTAGAGCGCATATTCAAATTCTTACTTCATTATATATTTCATAATTATGCAAAAACACAAGTTGATTAATTTCATAATTCTAAAGGAACAAACGAATATACTTTATGAAATACTAACTCCTACATTTTGTCAGAAAAAGTACAGCAAGATCAATTGGTAGAGTACTGTATAGAAATATATATTTGCCATTTGTGTGGACTAAACTTTATTACAGTAGAAAACTGATGGTACTCGATTGAGATAACAAAAGTAAAAAAACGAAACTTTGGGGTGTGGCGAACGGAGGATTTTTGGTGTAAATAAAGAAGTGGGCTCAGCCGACTATTTATTGATCCTAACTAGTCGCGGCTTCCCATTACCTTTTAGTTGTCATTTCTTCTACCCGATTTTCGTACGAGTCATAAATTACATATAATTTAGAGCCCGTTTGGACATAAAAAAAATTCCCTTTTTTCAATAGATTTTTACTTTTTTTTTTGAAATCAACATTTATTCATAAAATTTTCAATTTTCACTTGAAGATGCATTTTGAAAAAATCCAAAAGGCTATTTTTCAAAATTATCACTCAAATTACTCACAAAACTTCAAAAACAACCCAAAATTATATTCATGTCAAAACACAACTCTAAATTTCAAATACCATTTTCACTTGAAAAAAATTTTCACCCTGTTTTAGAATTTTACAATTCTTATGTCCAAACCAGGGGCGGACCTACGCTAGGGGGTGGGGGGTCATGAGTGTTATTACACTGTATTTGTAAAATAAATCTGGAAATATAAATGAGTATAAACAGAAATGAACATAAACAGAAATGACATAAAACCAATTCGAGCCCACTGAATTCACAGTGTTTCCTTAAGGAATTTAATCCCCTCCTAGTACCCAAGGTTATGGATTATTTCCTCCCAGGATAGAACGAATTACACACTGGTGTAGTGGTACTTCAAACCCCAGTGTTTCAGCGAACACAAAGTTCGGTAGCAAATCACACTTACTTTTTTGCTTTGTTTTGATGCTAAAAGTATGCAGAAGAAGGAGAGGAAACTCAGAAAATTGTAGTTAAAATTCTGAGCAGAATAGTGTTGTATTTATAGCCAAAGTTGGGTCTCTTCAGAATGGCTGTTTATGCAAAACGCCCACAACATAAATGCCATTACATAAATGGCCATTTACTCAATAATAAAGAGGGAAAATAAAGAGGGAAAATTGAAGAGGGTAGTTACTTTTCTGTTACCAAAACAGAAAAACGGATTGGATTTAATATTAATATTAATATTTTGTTATTAAACCAAATATTTAATAACATTTCTGTTAATATTTTACTATTAACAAATAAATTTGGTCCAAAAAGTTAATCAATCAATCATTTGACCAAATCCGTAGCCGTAGCCGAAGCCGAGCCGAGCGAGCGACGACGACAACGGCGCGAGGCTTGCCTTCTTCTCAACTCTTTAAGAGCTAGAAGAAGAGCAATTGCTTATATACCCATAAAAAACCTCTTCCTCTTCCAATATGGGACAATGCCCATTTGCCAAGGGAGGGGGAACTTAAAATTTCACTCAAAAATTTCATTTCCCTCCATTTCCCATTCACCCTCTTTTAAGTATTTAATATATTACTTAAATACCTTAAAAACCCAACAGTGGACAAGTTAAAGTAAATTGTTCCAACACGAGGCTTCCCATAGGTAACATTTTTGACTTTTAGCCTTAAAGGTTTGCCCATGGTTCAAGTTAAAAAATTAAGATAATCCATTTTCAAGGTCATTGGAGTAATTTTCTGGTTCTTATCAATATAAGCTTCATATAGTCGAGAAAAACGGCGCAAGTGCACAGCTGTTCTTAAAGATTCTATTTAGATATTAGCATTTTGCCGTAACATTTTAACTTAAAGATCTTAACTTCAGGATAATTAAAAATTGAACTGAAAAACTGAAATTTAGAACGCACTGATTAATTCCTAAACAGCAACCTTTTAGAGTGGCTATCTGATGTCATTTCTACAAGAAAACGGCTATCATGCACAGGATTTAATCGGATGGGCTTTTGATAGCCCAGAAAGGTTTGCTCACCTTCAACGAGATAGTGTATTGGATTTGCTTACAGAAACATAATTCTAATGGGCTTATGTTATCTGATATCGGCTCTACAGATATCCTAGCCCAATTTGGAAAACTGATCTTTAAACAAATAGCCGGTCATATTTACTGCTTATTTTTTCTAGCCTTTTACATACATTTGATTATATATATTTGTATATAAATTATACATATATTATACCTTTATCGGCTATTTTAATTTTAAGCGGTTGGGTGATTATTTGGGTTAATTCTTCAAAACGCTTATGATATTTAGCTAGCGTTTGAATATATATATATGATTGAAACTTGAAAAAAGAGTTTTTGAAGTTGTGTTAAAAAATAATTTTTGAAAGTTAAAGTTATGTTTGGATATGTATTTTATTTGAAGAAAATTTGAAGTTTTCTTAGTGGAAGAAAAAATTTCACGCAAGAACTCCTCTAACCCAATTTTTGGGAACTTAAAAATTTTTGAATTTTTTTCCCCAAAACAAGATCATGTTTCATATAATAAACATTATTTTCAAAAAAAAAATTATAAAATTGAAGCCAAAATCTATGGCTGAACGGGAGCTTAATCTCATGTATAACATAAAGATATTTGTGACACTTTTTTCCCATATTTATCTTTTCCTTCATGAAAGGGTTGCGTAATTCGGGTGCTAAGGAATAATATGGATATGGATGTAAATCATTAATTCGTCTTTTTCCAAAGAACAATTACTTGGTATTCTTGACCATTTTTAAAAAAAAATCTTCTTTTTTTTTTGGAGGAAAATTCTAGGTTGTGTTGTTGAAAGTGATTACTTTAAGACACATTCAGACAAAATATGATGATATTTATGCATGGATAGTTTTATTGGTAAAAGTACCAATCATTGGATGACAGACACAGAAATGTCCCTTAATTATTGCTTGGGAATAATAAATAGTATAATAAGTTGACTTGGAGTCAATCGACAAGTGCCCTAGTTTGCTTCTTAGGGCATATGTATCTTTAACATTAAAAAAATGTGTCCCTCTATTTTATTATACTGTTTATTCTGTCCCTTCCTCATATATAATGATTGCAATTTATGGCCTGCCCCTTCATTTGTTGGTATTTCCCTTATAAAAGTTCTAATATTGCTTAAGTATGATATAAATATTTCAACATCAATTATAATCTTAAATTCATTAACTATTACCTTAGAGCAAATTTATAATCACATACATTTTTCAAAATTTCGTGAATGGGGAAGAGAAGTAGTTAGGCAAGAGCCGAAAATTTGAACTATTACTTTATAAAATATTTAGTCGCATTAGATTAAAAAGAAAAAAGGCAGGTCGGTGCACGAAGTATTCCGCATTCACGTAGGGGCAGAGAGAGGACCACACCAAATTGGTGTAATGTAGGGAACCTACCCTGATATAAACGTCGGTGGATGATTTCACGACTCGAACCTCTGACGTATAAGTCACAGGGAGACGACTTTATCGTTGCTCCAAGGTTCCTCTTCAGTTGCATTAGATGTTACATCAAATCAAATAATTTAATCATAAGAATCAGAAATTAATGTAATTATATGTATAACTTATCGATAATTAAATAATATAAATTTATCTAAACAACACATATCTTGCATCATGCTATTTTCTTAAGAAAATACAGCGGAAGAAGTGTGGCTTGCTTTGTCGAGATTTCAGGTGTGAAACGAGCTCTGAATCCTCTCCAATGGAGGATACAGAAGCTTCTAGAAGAAGCTCGAAGAGAGAGAAAAAAGGGGAGCTGCTGAAAGTTGATTAAGCTGTGAAATGAACATTATATTAAATGTAACTAACACCGTTCAATATATATACAAAGCTATGGACTAACTAATTACAATACTGACACTAACTAACTAACGTTACTAGCTAACTAAAGCTAAAGATGCTGACTTAGCACTATTACAAAGATAAATACAATACACAAGTCTTAATCCCCCCCCCCCCCCCCCAAGTTGGATGTGAGGAAATCGCACCCAACTTGCCAAGTAAAGAACAATGTTTGATCCCAGTGAGGGCTTTGGTAAGCACATCTACAAGCTGCTGGCCTGTACCAATGTGATGCAAAAAGATTAGCCCCTCCTGAAGTTTGGTACGCACAAAGTGGTAATCTACTTAAGTGTGCTTAGTCCTTTCATGGAACACAAGATTCCTAGCAATGTGCAGAGCAGAAAGGCTATCACAATGTACAGGTATTGTCAAATCAATTGGCACAGTAAGTTTTTCAAGCAACCCGGATAGCTAAACAATTTCACCAACAACTTTTCTAAGAGCTCTGTATTCTGCCTCTGCTGAGGAAGGGGATATGGTTTCTTGCTTCTTGGATTTCCAACTGATGGGGCTTCCCCCTAGGAACACAATATAACCAGACACTGATCTTTTAGAATCAAGGTAGGCTGCCCAATCAGAGTCACAATAGGCAACTAGTGAAAGATCATCCTCATTACTGAAATATAGGCCCAGAGTGGGATCCTTTTTCAAGTACCTTAGCATGTGATAGGCTGCCGGTAAGTGGGCATCCCTAAGATCTTGCATAAACTGGCTGAGATGTTGAACTCCATTTTCTATGCCTAATCTAGTGTTAGTTAGAAATTTTAATTTTCCAATCAGTTTGCTGTAAGTAGGATCAGATAATGAGGTTCCCTTTTTTGCTTTTAATATTACTGTAGATTCAAGGGGAGAAGTCAAAGCTGGAGAGTGAAGACACTCATATTCCTTCAACAAGTCCAAAACAAACTTTCTTTGTGAAATGATAATGCCATCTAGCTTGTAAAGGATTTCTAGTCCTAGGATGTAATGTAATTGCCCTAAATCTTTGATTTTGAACTTGTCATGTAGGAAGGCCTTAAGCTGGTTAATTTCTTCAGAGTCAGTCCCTGTGAGCAACACATCGTCTACATACACTGCTAGAAAAACAATAAAAGAGTTCTATTTTCTGTAGAAAAAAGTGTAGTCATGCATGGAGTGTGTATACCCTCTTGAATATAGGACTTCAGTCAACTTGTCATACCATTGTCTACTTGCCAATTTCAGTCCATAAAGGGACAGCTTGCACACTAACCCCGGAGAGTGCACTTCAAGGCCCGGAGGAGCCTGCATATACACCTCCTTATGCAAATCTCCATGAAGAAATGCATTATTTACACCTAGTTGTGAGATTTGCCATTTTTTCTTTTCTGCTATGGCAATGAGTGACCTGACAGTACTGGAGAGAAGGTCTCTGTATAGTCTACACCAGCCTGTTGAGTGTACCCCTTAACAACTAACCTTGCTTTGTATCTTTATACACTGCCATCTGCTCTATGTTTGACTTTATACACCCATATACACCCAATAGCCTATTTTTCCTTAGGTAAAGAGACTAGGTCCCATGTGTTATTGGCATATAAAGCTTCAAACTCCTGTGTCACGGCACACTGCCAGGCAGGGTACATAGCACCTTCTTCATATGAAGTTGGTTCTCTATCGTTGCAAATGTTCTTTACAGTGTGCTGACTATCAGGATGTAGGGCATCAGAAACAATGTGATTATTATGAGAGAACATGGCATGTAGGGAGAAATTAGTGTTAGATTTCAGGTTTGGTATCATGCAAACATAATCATTTAGATGTGAAGGGAGTTTGTGTTCCCTATTAGATCTTCTAAAACCTAGTGGTTCTTCTAGTGATTGTTGGGGTAAAACCATGTCTTGTAGTTCTTCTATTGGAACCCGTGGCTCATATGAAGAAGATATAGGTGAGAACGTAGCAGGTGATGTATCAGGACTTGGGGAGTTGATGTTTTCCTGATCACTGATATTGTGGGATATATAAGTATCAATGTGGTTAGGTAGATTATCAGTGAATGGTGCATTAAGAAAAACAGGTGGAATGCTAGTTGTAGTAGTATTGAGAGTTAAAGGAAAGATTAACTCATAGAAGGAAACATCTCTGGAAATGTATATTTTCTTAGTGGCCAGACCTAGCACCTTGTACCCCTTTGTGCCAAAAGGATATCTTACAAACACATGTGAGGTAGTTCTTGGTTCAAGTTTATCTCTGAGAGGTTTTGGTATAGTGGGGTAACATAAACACCCAAAAATCCTCAAGTGAGAATAATTGGGCTTCTTTTTATATATGAGCTCAAAGGGGCATTTATTCTTTAGAGGAGTAGTTGGAAGCCTATTGATGAGGAATGTTGCTGTAAGTATACACTCTCCCCAATATCTCAATGGCAATTTGGATTGAAAAAGTAGTGCCCTGGCTACTTCAAGGAGATATTTGTGTTTTCTTTCCACCACTCCATTCTGTTGTGGTGTGCAGAGGCATGTCTTTTGGTGATTTATTCCTTAGGATTGAAAGAAAGAGGTTGCCTCATTGCTAGTGAACTCTAAGCCATTATCAGACCTTATACATTTAATGGTTGTTTTGAATTGGTTCTCCACCAAGCTCACAAAAGCCTTTATTATTTGTAGGGCATTGCTCTTGCAGCTTAAGCGATGTGTCCAAGTGGATCCACTGTAGTCATCTACCAGGGTTAGGAAGTACTTGATTGTTGTGTGTGACCACATGATAGGGACCCCACAGATCCAAATGAAGTATTTCAAAAATTTCAGTAGTATCAGTTGTTCTTTGGGGAAAAGGAAATCTAGATTGTCTGGCCATAGGACAAATATTGCACATGAAAGGTTGTTTAGTGGAAAAGGTTGAAGGTATAGTAGGAATCCCTTTCATTTTACTGAAGGGTACATGACCAAGTCTGAAATGCCATAACAGATCCACATTATCACTAAGAGATGAATTAGAAAGCAAACCAGAAATACTGTCTTTATTATCACTGTTGTAGATGGAATTATTTACAATAGGGAATGAATTGTAAGAGTGGGATAGACAGTGCATAGTATTTACATCATCAGTGTGAACAGAAAAACAAGAAGGATCAGAGCTTTGTTTGAGACTACCTTTCTTCAAGCACTTAGAACAGAGGAAGTACAACCCATCAAACAACTTACCAATCTCTAGAGGCCTCTTAAGGGGCCTGCAGTAGACAGGAAGTGTCAGAGAATGATGCAATGCATTTGAGATGCATTGCTAGGGAACTGATAGACACTAGGTTAAACTTGAAAGATGGAATGAACAAGACTTTATATAGGACTATTTTAGGTGTTAGGAATACATTTCTAATCTCATTTACTTTGACTTTGTAACCATTTGGAAGTTTAACTAATAGAGGATATGGCAGGCTTACTATGTTTTGTAGGTGAGTTCTATTAAAAGTCATATGGTGTGATGCCCCGAAATCTAATATCCATAAGTCTAAAACACTTGCATGATGGATTATCAAATCAATTGAAGAAGTGCAAGCAATCATACTTGCAAAGTTTACTGATGCCCCACTAGACATGTTTGCACTGGCTGAGTTCTCTCCAGTGTTTCCTATCTGAAAAGCAGCAAGCCCGCAACAAGCTGACAATTTGTCCATACTGCTCCTTTGAAAGACTCACGTTTTGACCTTCTCCTTGGAGTTCCATCTCTTCTCCTTTTTCTATATTTGTGACTGCATTTGCCATGGCATTTCTTCCCTTGTTGAACATTGTGTTGTTATTGTATCCCTGTGTACCTTGTTTGTATTGTTGTGGTCCTTGATTGAAACCTTGAGGGTATCCATGGAGCATATAGCACTTATCTTTAGTGTGACCTTGTCGTTTGCAATAGTCACAGAAGGGTCGAGGTCTACCATTGGTGACCTGATTCTAGTCCCAGCTGAGTAGTTTGTCTTGAATTTCTTCCTCCAATGCCGTGGAATCAACATTTAGTTGATTCCTTGGTCTAAATTCCCTCTGTTTCTTCTCTTGTATTAGAAGAGCAAATGCTTGTGCCATGTTTGGCAAGGGATTCATCATAAGTATGCTTCCTCGAACAACCATATATACTTTAGTGAGTCCCATTAAGAATTGTATCGACCTTCTATCATGTTCTGCCTTATGCATGCTTTCTTTCGCTCCACAAGTGCACACACAACTGCAATGATTTTTGACACTGAGAGTGTTCGATTCTTCCCAGAGTTTCTTCATTTATGTGTAGTAGCCAGTGATATTAAGCACGCCCTGACTCAAATCATTAATTTTTTTCTGAATTTGGTACGGCTTAGCCCCGTTCGCAGCTCAACGGAGTCATTTACATATTCAACACTATCAGCTATGTCTTTTGACAAAGAGTTTAAGATCCACGAGGTGACCATATCGTCGCACCTTTCCCATTGTCAAAAATGTGGAGACGTTACATCAGGTCTCTTACTGTCTCCGTTGATGAAGCCTAATTTGTTTTTCACTGAAAGAGCTCTGAGTACGCTCCTTCTCCAGGAACGATAGCCGATTTCGTCAAATGGAATCGGAACTAGTGTAGAACCTGGGCTATCAGAAGGATGTACATAAAGAGGGCTATACCAGCATCGATTACCGTCTGTGTCGTCTCATCAGTCTGATATGTAATCGCCATGGAAATTTTGTAAAAAATAGTTGAATCGGCCTTCGTATAGTTGAGATTTCTTCTATTTGTCGACGAATCGTCTCTGTATGTGTCCGATTCAAGTTTTCCCCAAATTGTGATTGATGAAGGAAACAAAAAAAACCCTAGATTACTCGATGGTCAGAAATAGTAGAACGAGATGAAGCGTGGTCGTTGATAGAATCTCCGCTCTGATACTATGTCGAGATTTTAGGTGTGAAACGAGCTCTGAATCCCCTCCAATAGAGGATACAGAAGCTTCTAGAAGAAGCTCGAAGAGAGAGAGAAAAGGGGAGCTGCTGAAAGTTGATTAAGCTGTGAAATGAACATTACATTGAATGTAACTAACACTGTTCAATACATATACAAAGCTATGGACTAACTAATCACAATACTGACACTAACTAACTAACGTTACTAGCTAACTAAAGCTAAAGATGCTGACTCAGAACTGTTACAAAGATAAATACAATACACAATTCAATAGTCTTAATATGCTTAATGTGGAGTAATAGAGAAAAGAGACTGTTCTTGAACTACACTCAAACCTCTCTATAACAGTCTTGTTCGTTCTGATATTATTTGGCGGCTATAATAAAGTGCTATTAAAGAGTACATATATTATAATATAATGTAAAAATCGGTTCCGAGAAAAATATAATTTTTATAGTAAATGACTATTATATGGAAATACTGTTATACAGAGGTCTGACTCTACTTAAAAACCATACTCCTAGAATGTAATTTTTCCTTATATAAAAATGGTTATTTGTTATATATTAACCCCACATGAAGAGGGCCACGTATTTGAAAATTGAAGATAATGTCTAATAAAAAAAAATGGTCGAATCATACTAAAATTGGCAGTACTAGGAAAAAATTATAAGAAACTTCTTGTGATTGTCTAAGGGAAAATTATTATTCTAGGAGGATTCGTGCAAGTTTAAACAACTTCTTTAGAAAAGAATTTTAAATTTTGTTGATACTGAAATCTTATTTTTATATTACATATTTTATGATTTTGTATTTGTCATTGCATTGACCTTAGTCCTGTCGGAGACTTCTTTCTTCCTTGTTAATAAAGTAATAGTTTCAAGATATATATTATAATGCATTAATCTACCTATTAAATTTGGATATTCTGATCCAAAAAAATAATGCTATGTATATATTAAATTTATCTCTAGTATTTGTTTTTTTTTATAAGCGTTATAAATTAATGGGTAATTAGACCATTAAGATAGGAATTGAATGTCGTAGCATTTGAATTTGCAAGTTACCTAAGATATTATTTTCTAGAAAGAGGATAAGAAAACTTGACTTACTACAACTCCACCAACCCTATTTCCCTTTCCCCTTTCTCTTTTAGGAATTTTAGTCAACGTTTCACATGATTAGATATATTCATTTTTATGGTATTTGGACTTTGAGAGCAAGGTGATAACAATATCAACAAGTACCCTGGCGTAGCTATTAGCCAAAGAGAAAAGTATATTCAATATTTTATGGTAAGTAAATTAAAATCAAAATTTTCTATAGTTTTTAAAAAGTGTAATTACCATTTTAGCAGGTCATCTAATTATGTGAATTTATTTTATATCGTCATTATATAAAACCTACATGCAAAAACTTACTGCGATGTGTTCAATCAAAAAAAAAATTTCAATGCACCTAGAAATAGCATTGACATGTATGTATTTATGTTCCTCTAATTGAATATACTTAGTTACTGAAGATGTGATCACAGAATGGCTTTCATAAAAAAGAGCCCCACATAGCGTAAAAGTAGAGGTTTTCATACACAAAAAG